CTCCTACCTACTAGCTTCTTGTTTCTAGTAGTAATGGCCTCCAACCTAATAGCGATGGCCTCCACCCTAGTACTAGCTTTTTGTTCCTAGTCGAACAAGTGAATGGCTCAATTTACTCAAGCATCTACATTATCTACTATGTCCACGAGTCCCAACCATTGACTCATATTGTTCCCGTGGGATTTTGGATGGTCAAGTGGACTGACCTACGGTGTGGCCCAGTAATCCAGTCACAGTCGGGGGACGGAATGCGACCCCCAAAACAGGGGTCATGAGGCCACGAAACAGCAGGCCTGACGTTCATGTTAACTGGGGTCAGATTCCGTCCTCCAAAACAGAGGCCGCGAGAAGAAGACGCATTTTTGTTACAAGATTTATCACTATTCTTGGGATGTTGGCCTGCAACCTAACAATAATCATCATCCATTGGTACTGGAAATGGGGTGTACCCAGGGTTCACCATTGGCATATCCGGATAGACTGTGTTCACTGTTCTCCATGGATGGGTGATTCAGTAGCGCCAAGAATCTTTGGGACTGAAGCGCCAGCTAAAATGAGGCCGAATGATTTTGAGGGAGGAATCAGGTAACAAGCCCAGGGCCTAGCACTGGGTAGATATGTTAAATAACGTGTTTGGTTGTTTTTGTTGTTTGTGTTTCATTGTGTGTGTTTTGTGTTGTTCTTTTCCGATCTGAATCGGATCGTTGATCGTTTGACTTATTTCATGCATATGTTTGACCACGTTCTGGAGGATTCCGATCTACACAAATTCTGATGATTCGCATGGCGCCTGGTGCCTTCAGGGATCAGCAAAGCTGGAAGCACCACATGAGGGACCTTCATGGCCTGGCTGTGGCTTGGAAGCACCATGTTGGGTGGTGGTGTTTAGCAGGAAAGCTGATTCTGAGGTGAGTGTTAAGCAGTTGATTCTGAAGTGCACCGGCAAAAGAGGTTAAAAGGACCATCCCAGGGGTGATCAATGGCTGTCGCTGTGTGGTGTAAGGTATGCCATTGGACATCCTTGGATGCTCCTGGCATATATTAACTTGTATAGTAGGATCTTAGCTGCAGGCCCCCAGATTTGCATACTTTCAAGCCCTGAGGATCGAAAGTTAGCTCTATATGCTAACATTTGGGGTTGTGTCTTCTGGGGCTCTCCGACCTCACCCTGTGAGGTCCGACCTCAAAAAAACGAGATCATACCAGAACCCAAAAACCACAAAACCAACGATCCCAAATCACGGCCCGTCACGGGTTGTCACGCTGGAGTCCGACAATGACCTCATGTTTAAAGGGAAAAAATAGACCAATCACGGTCTGTCACGGTTCGTCACGCCCTGGTATGCTTGGTTCTTGGGATTTCATGGTCTTATCCGACAATGATACTGGAATTGTATATACATTTCAGGTACCCCTATGTGTGATTCGACAACGTCTTCAAATAACACGATCAATAGAGACGTATGCATATCCTGAGATCATTTCTATTTGTGACCTATGTGTGGTCATGGATCGTCAGGGAAGGGAAAGACGGAATGATCCCGTTTAGTAGCTCCACATACCTAGTAACAAGGACGCTATTAGGTGGAGACCATCGCTACGAACTTAACAAATAAAATCGTGTGTGTTGGTGTTGGTGTTGGTGTTGGTGTTGTTGCTGTTGCTGTTGCTGTTGCTGTTGCTGTTGCTGTTGTTGTTGTTGTTGTTGTTCTTGTTCTTGTTCTTGTTCTTGTTTTTGTTCTTGTTCTTGTTCTTTGTTAAAGAACAAATCCTCTATCATCCTCTAACGCTATAGACACAATTGTATCATCCTCTAACGAGCCAGGCCACCGAGTTCAGGACTTCGATGAAAAACACGCCGACACGCTTCGTTCTTCGGAGTTCCGAATCTGACCGACCTGGTTTCAAACCTCGCGACACAACGCCATCCACGTGGTCCATACAATATTTGTCAATAGCAGTGGGACGACAATACTGTCTATATATGTACAGTTCACTTCAAGCGTGCCATGCCAATATTCAGGTGGATCCAATATCCAATCATGAGCAACTCTCAACATGATTGCTGTCCACGCCATGTTTGAGTGCGTCCAATCATCAAAGGAAACCATTCCGTTCTGGGCCAACTGCTACACTTGCAGAAACATTCTGTCAGGATGCCCAAATACCGGCAAAAGGCTTGCTTTTCCGAGGGATTTGCCATGGCGACTTGATGTTCCACGTGGAGTGGAAGCAGTCCAGTCGTCGCCATGGAAGTGGATGTTCCACATGCCTTGTCATCCATGAGCCATGCCATCCACTTCGATTCTTTCAGTGTACAGGAAAAAGAGCCATATGAGACCGGTCTTGGCATGGACCAGACATGACCAGACGATGTTCCCGAATACCACCCAGTGGGTGTCCCGGGTTTCCCCGGGAGACCGATTGGGTTCCAGATCCGATCGATGCCGGCCTTTTGGCTCCGAGGAGACCGAAGCGGCCAAGGCAGATCGCCATGCCAAGCTGCAGAAGTGGACGTCGCCCGGTTCGACTTCGTGTCGAGGAGACGGTCTGTTGGGAGAGACGGTCTTCTGGAACATATAAGCCATGGCCTGGCCTGATTTGGGGATGAATTAGTTCTAGAATAGTTCCAGCGGAAGCGATCATGTTTGAATTCCAAGTGGCAGAAGTTCTTTTACACATCCTGATGGCGCCTGACGGCCTGATGTTTGTTATTTTCATGGTTCAAGTGCAATCACAGGATGTCACATGGACGTGCAGGGTTGTTGGTGCATCTTGGGTGTTATTATGTTTATTTATGTGTTTTTTTTCGGGGGGATCCAGGGTGTGTGTCTTTCGGGGGTCCATTCGGAATCTGTTGGAGTGAGTCTTGGCCCATGGATGTGAGTCTTTGTCAGGCCCAGCTCCTCTGAAGCCCAGCTCTTGTCATGGTTTCTATGGCCATTTGGTCGATTCACTGGTCGATTCTGGAGCTGGCAGATTTGTTGTTTGGGGGGCCTCCTGGCAGAGTTCATCTGGTGAATTTGGCTTCAGGTGTTTGCTTCCAGTTCTTTGCTTTCCTTTCACACACCGGTTTTTTAATAGTTTTGTCAATCTTGTCAGAGATTAAGCCTTCTGCAGAAAAAATGAATGTGTCTCCAGACTCGCCGATGTGTGAAAACCTCGCTGACGTGCCGGGTGCCGGGTCGAGACGCAGAGCAGATCACACAGCCGAGGCGTGAAAGGTCAAAGAAGTCTAAGGCCAGGGCGAGAGGGCAGTGTGGGGTCTTCGCGCTCCATTACGGTTACATATCCACCACATAGGCTACTGGTAAGACCATATGGCTGCATAAAGCGTAATTATAAACATAGAATATGAATATATATATATGAATACATACACACAAAAGACAAAGTCGTCACTTTTTTTGAGTGATTGCTATCCTGCCTTGGGGGGGAAGGCTTTGCGGAAACTCGTCTCTTTTTTCCCAAACACAAGCCAACTCTGTTGGTTGGAAAGGGACCTACTTTTGGGTTGTTCGTTGAGAGTCAATGCAGGCGTTGGCACCCAACTTGGAGGGGCGTCTAAGTTGGCCGGACACCTGTGACACGGCTGGCCAGGCCCCCTGTGGACACGAATTCGTTGGAAGTAGACAGGATGTGTTCGCTTCCGATCTCTTGTTATGGATGGAAATGGATTGAACCATTGACCGTGACCTGAGAGAAGATGTGGACATGGTGAAGCCGGTGAAGCTCTCGATGAGACCTGTTTATTGAAAGCGTGGTAAAATAGTTTAAACCATCTGCATACCATCTGCAAAACATCACGTGATATGCTTAACCCTTCAGGACCCGCTGACTGCCCGACGCACAGCTGCAAACAGGTGCAAACACACACAGGTGCAAACGGCGAATTCTGACCATGCAGCTTTTGTGGTGGGTATCCTCTTTGGAGCATAACTCTCTGGATGAAGGCAAGTGGTGAACCTTCAACAGTGGTCCCTAGGATGACCCAAAAAGAACACACATATCATATCATATCATATCATATCATATCATACACCGCACCTGGTTCATCAACTGCAGGCGGAAAACAACAAAAAGCACAGATCCACTAGGAGAAAATGTAACCCTTCCACTCATGATGTGCTTACATCAGCCCTTTTATGGGTTGCCAGGTGCTCGTAGCTTGGTTTCAGGGTGGTTCAGTGGTTCATGTACATGCACCATCCTGCAGCATCCTCTACTAATGGCAAAAGTAAAGTTTGTCAGAAATTCAGAAATTGTTAATTTCCTAATTTCCACCAAAAGTAAGATTTTTCAGAAACCCGAATTACCGAATTTCCGCTTTCCGACAAGCCTTGAAACCCTCTTACAGACTGTAGGTCTTGGATTCACCTAAACTAATGGCATCTTTCTGAAATTGAAATTGTTGAGCACACCGTCCAGGCGGCCTTTGTGCAGAACGCGTCACCGACTTCATTCCTTCGCGGTGCTGGCATATCGCGATCATGTTGTGCCACTTTCTCCAGCGCAAATGAATTTGATCCCAACTAAGCCTCGTGCTGGACACAAGTTTGCAACCACATCCGCTAGACCAACGCCATTGTCACTACTCACGCCAATCGCAGGGCAACTGTCAGTGCTCAGTTTCGGCATGAGTATGCAACAATCTATATACATTTGTTTTTCAGTATATATTGTGTGTTGGTCATATAAACTTCTTCCGGAAAGCCTGGCGTAACACTACTCTTGTCGTCAAAGGTGTGAACTTGTATGTACCAACTTGCTGAAACAATGAGCCCTTACAGCTCCTGAAGGCACAGCATTTGTGCGCACAGCGTTGGTCAGTCGTTCTACGTGCTTCGCATCAAGAGAGATGCACCAGTGTCCGCCCTTGGTTTTCTTGAAGGTTTCTCTCTCTTTTTCTCTCGTTTTCATGGGTTGATGGATTTAAGAATTGACTTTGTTTTTGGTGCTGGGCTGTGCTTTCCTTCTCTAGTGATTGCAAGGTTGCCATGTACGCGGAGAGAGGAAGTGCACACCCTTTCGCTGACTAATGAATGTGACATGCATGTGCATGAAAAGCCAGGGAAACCGGACAAGGTTGTGGTTCTTCTCAAGCACAAGCGATCAGCAAGCTGATCCGAAAAGCAGCACGGAGAGATTCGTGCTTTGAGTTGTGGCCACCGTCGAGCCATGGGAAAGTGTCTCCTTCTGGTGCAAGAAATGGTCCCTTGGGGAAAGTGGGAGGCCGTTCGCTCCTTTGCCCGTGACTTCTCCGAATCAGGTGGCGTATCTCAGACCACGCGCAAGGCTATCATTCCACTTGATGTGTTCTCCGCCTGTCGACAGTTGCTTGATGTGGCTTGGAAACTGTGCCAGCGGCAAGCAGCAGCCGGGCAGCAGCAGCAACAACCATTGGGCAGCAGCCGGGCCGCCCCGATCCACTTGGCCATGTGAAAGACGGAGAGTTACATCCTGGAGAATCAGGCTTCGAAGCATTGATGTGTGCCAGCTGGAGAAGTAGGCAATAAAGACTCCCTGTGGAAAAAGAAAAATCAGCCCTTAAAATCATGGATGTTGTAGACTGGGAAGAGCTGGAAAAAACAGAATAACAACTGGCGCCACATCCGAAAAGCAAACAGTCGAGTCTATGAAACAATGAGACTGGCTTCGCATCCCAGTCAGAGACTGATGATCATGCCATGTAAGTTTTGTGCTAGCGATTGGCTAGCTCCATTTTTTTTGTCTCCCTCGCACAATTGAAACAACTGAAAGAACCTCTCTCCAAGCTGATATCTGTGAAGAAAGTGAAGCGATGATCTCAATGCTGAGTTACTCAAGAGGTACAATTGCACAGATGCTCTATTTTCAAACTTATTCCAACTGGCCACGGACACATTTGGCGAGTAGAGACTCCTTTTTGGTTTGTTTTTTAGGGGGGCTTGTTCTTCTTACTTCTCCAAAGATTGGCATAGATGAAAGGTAAGTCCTCTAGACCCCATGGGGTGGCTCCAACCTTTTGGGTATGGGTTGGATCCCTCTATCGGACCCCGAAAGTGGATCCAGTGTCCAAAATGGGAGCTTCCTGGAAAAAATAACGTCAAGATTCTGAAGAAAATTCACAGAATTGAATAAATGAATGATTACCGTAAAAATCAATGAATTTCTGATCCCTGGGAATGCCAAAGCCAGGGGAAGAGCAAGGACAGCCAAATCGAAGTGACTCCGTCGGGAACTCTCAGGGACGGCCGCGAAGACCATTCGAACCACAGGGCGCGACTGGTGGCAGTGTTTGTAAACCAGCTGTCTGTTTTCAAACCTTAAGAACAGCTTAGACCATCTTAAGAACCAGCCCCTAAAGGATTGAAAACAGACAGCTGCTTTTTCTGGGGAACTCAGACACGGATTCTCACGGCGACACTCCCCGGACAGATCCGTTCGCAGGGGCACCCGTCTGTGCCCCTGCGGACGACGATCCCGACCCTGGGAATTCACCAGTGGTTTTGGGAGTCCATGCTAATCGGAGGGCAGTCTTTCATTTGTATGTGCTTTACCATACATGCTGAGTGAATAATGTTTTGGACTTTAGTCAAAAACATTCAAGAACTCATTCTATTTATATATAGTATATCTATTTCTATTCCATTTCCTCTACAGAAAACAGCGGTTCTTTACCTCGTACCTCGTCTTGCTCAACTCGGCCTGACTCGGCCCAAGGCCGGGCCTCTATCGCCACTCTTGCGATCTGTGTGGTGCAGAGGTGGACTTGGCCGTCAATCTGGCAGGGCAAGGCGGGTGAGCAGCGAAGAAGACGTGAAAGCCATTGGGTGTAGGATGGAGTGAAGGGATGAAGGGGTTTCTACTGATCATAAAGTTCTCAGACCTAAATGGAAGTTGGTGATGTTGGTGGTGTTCATGCCAAAATTCATTGGTCCTGCCCTCATGCCGACTGATTCGAAAGCCTTTTACTGGGGGTGTTTCATGGATAGTTCCAATGCTGCTGCCAGCAACATTGCAAATAGATGTGCTGTAAATGATTAGCTCTATAGTGGAACTGATGCAAGATGCTCAAACGATGAGCCGCTTCGGAGGGGACGAGTTCAATGAAGACGCTCGTGCGCCGCAGGGCTGACCTTCAAATGTGCCATTATGGGCCGTGCTTGCTCAGGCGGCAAAGTCGGTGGTTGGCCCAGGAAAAGTCGACCCAAAGGATGTCCTACCCCGGATAAGTTGATCACCTTTCGCCTTTGTGTGGGTCTCAACAAGAGTAACTGGAAAAGGGGTGTTCTTTTTCTGGAACATGGACAAACTTGGGGCAAAACCGTGGGGCAAACTTGGGCCAACTTCCTCAACAAACGAATCATCAAAGACATGGGTTTTGGGTGGTTTTTCTGTTCGTTCCGACGGAGGGTGTGGCATTGTGCGGCCCTTTGTTGGGGGGCCGAGGAGGTGACCCGAAGGTGTCTCGCCTGATATCCCACAGGATCCGAAGAGAACTGAATGGAAGGGAGTCAGTTCAATTCTGGTGACTCATCGTTCTGGCTGGAACGTCACGCCAGATGTTTCAACATCAGTCTTTGAGCCAAACCTTGCGGTGAAACATAATTGCCTCTGTGTAGATTCATATTGCAGTCGTCAATGTTGTCGCGTGTTGGTTTCACTTGTAGACATGTGTCACTGTTGTCATTCCAGCCGTTGAACGGTGTTTTTTCTCCGACGGGGAAGGCTGAGAGTTCCCAAGCGACTGCTAAAAACACCATGGTCGGGGAAGCCCACTTCTGGATGAAACTTGGAGCTGGACATCAAAAGAATCCATATTTGAACAGTGATGGCTCCACTGCGAAATTAGAGATTCTCGACCAAAAGAGCAGTTGTTCGGGGAAAGACCAACCTTGGCTGTCGTTGTCCGGAGGGGTCGCAGGTAGTAGTGTGTGCCTCTTCTTTGATGTTGCCATCAAGCTAAGGACTTTGACACCCTTTGGGACTGTGGACTGTGGACCATCAACTGTGTTTTGATGGTTGCCTCGGTCCTCCCTGTGCTTATTGCAGTTGCTGTTGCTGTTGTTGGACGATGACATCACATTTAGCACATGGTCATCGCTACGTGTTCAAGGGTTGATGTGACCAGGCTCGAGCATGTCACTTGAGAGCAACTGTCAAACAAGGATTCCAGGATGTAACGACTAGTTGACTGGCTGTATGTGTATATATCGGCTCTAGACTGCTGTATTTGTTTCCTGTTCGCACCGAGTGAGAAGAGTGATTGATCTCGCTCACCCGATCGGATCCTGGTTCAAGTTCAAGTTCTTGATCCACAAAATCTTCGTACCCGGTCGCATGTAATGGCTGGGATTCGCCAGGATTCCAGCCACCATGTGTTTAAGCATGTGTATTTACTGTAATTAATTGTTGTTTTCATGATGTTGTTTTTCCAAGCAACCAATGTTTTGTTTAAATGATGTTGGACTGCAAGACCAGTTCAACCTTCTTTGAATCCTCTTTGAAGGGATATGGGGGTAGATACACACATTTCTCGCGTTTTCCCAGACACGCCCTTGGAGGTCCGAAGAGCGTTGCCTGGAAAGCACCGATGGGGTGCATGTGTTGAGCTGTTTTTCAGATCTGTTTTGGGTGTCAAAAAAGGGCGGAGCTGAAAACATCCGTAGGTGATCAATAGGTTTCTTTTGCACAACATGGTGGTCTTCAAACATGTGCTGGCCTGCTGTAGCAGGCCAGATCTTGTGACGGAGATCCCAAACCAACCTTCAATTTCCCAGGGTTCGATATTGATGGGATTCGTAAGTGAAACAGGTGTTGCTTGCATTTCCATGAGGAATCATGTAGAGTTATCTCCTATGACTACCAAGTCATGTGTAGGACTGTAAAGCATGGCTGTGGTTTGGCTTGGGGGGTTTGATGATCAGAATGCTCTTTGTGAAAAAGCAACAGGTGTTGACGTCTAGCTCCTATAGATCCTATTGGTGCACGGTGTCGGTCCTATTGGGAGTCAAGTCTCCCGCCTATCGCTCCTCGGTCCAAGTCTTTGGGACTCGAAAATAGACCACCAACCACAGCCACACACCAGTTTCTTCGGTTCTTGACCATTTTGAAGTCCCTATGATAAACACTATAAATGACCTAGTAAGTGACTTGTTACAGACCCTGGTAAGTGACCTCAAAGCAGGATATCAAATCTCTTTGAAGAACCAGGTGCAAAAACAGTAAATGAAATGTGTGGTGGGATCCCAAATCTGGACGCTGATTTTGTTGGGCTTCGACCGGTGACGTCGACCGCGAATGACCCTGAGGCCCCGGTGATGGCGCCCGCCGTCCCAGTGACGCCGGTGGCGTCAGCGCCAGGTGCAGAAGCGGGTTGCGATGATCCGTCATTGAGTCATGATGCCTTTTGAAAGTACTAAAACAGTGAAACAACTAGAGTTGTGACACGGCACGGGAGTAATTCGGGTAGTTTGATGTTGATTCAGTAAGTTCAGTGAAGGTCCAAGCAGTTCATGTATAGTAGACAAGGGATCGATGTGATTATGTAGAACAGGATGTGAAGTGGATGCAAGATGATGCAAGTTATTCCATACTTGTCGCTAGGCTGCTCCGAACGCATCCCCAGTGAACGAATAGAGCGAGCGATAGAGAGAGAGAGAGAGATTGATTCATGACTTCATGACATCACCTATGATGGCCTAATTATAAAACAATACTAATCAGACTCAATCAAGGTGCTTAGTTTGTATCAAGGTGCATAGTTTGTTCCAGGTTTCGATGTTCTGTTTTCCTTCGGGAAGATCCCCAGCAGGCGCAGGCGCAGTCATGGCGGTGGATGTGCCGGTGCCCGATGACGATGACCTGTGAGCCCAGCATGGTCTTGGACGCGGAAACCATAGAAACACACTGTGCTTTTGGAGAAACACCGGAGAAAACTAGAAACAACAGAAGTAACTCGTTTCAGTAGAATTATATCATAGTACTGTAAGTTCTAAACAATTTGGCCGCCCAAGACCACGCGAGCTCGCTAGGAGTGAGTTCGCCCACGGTGGAAACGGGTTCCTTCGTCCATCCGACCAAGTCGGAGGACTTCGTTTCGAACACTGCGCAGTTCTCCGAACACCTAAGCCGCGGTGGAAGCGGGACGGAAGCGGGACGAAGCGATGCTGGAAGTCAGACACGATTTGGTGGCTGAGTGAAGAGTCTGGGTCTCTTGTGGTTTGAGGTGTACCGGGTTGCGGAGTTGATCGGAGTCCTTTTCTCAGAAACAATGTGCATCTAAGTAATTATCAAAGAGGGAGTCTGATTGAATTTTAGGGATGAAGAGCTGTGAGATTGATTGGTCATGCTGAAGGAGGCTTTGCTGGGTCAACTCTGTTTAAGCACACCAGTTTCAGCTTCTATTGACATTTAGATGTTCAAACAGTAGGATGACACAGCCTCACCCCAACCAAGAAATCTTGAATGTGACCCACACGACTTGGTTGCTGACGGTTACGGCCTCGAGCCATCTCCAAATTCAGTTGCAGTCCACACCAAAAAAAAGTGCTAGGCGGCCCCTAGCCATATAGAGGTGTCCTCAGAGACAGAAGTGGTTTCCAGTTTCCAAAAGTTTCGCGTGTCCAATAGGGGGAAGTCATTCTTCTGGTCTAGAAAATTTACTTAAAATACGTACTATAAATATTGATGAAATGCACTTATATGACCACTTGGACCTTCAGATCAGGGTGCGACGCACTGGGCCATTGGTGATCTCGAAATCGGCAGGCCACTGGGCCACTCCGCCCTCGGTCGCCAAGGCCGATCCCGGTGCTTGGTCCAATGCCTTGGATGATGCGTTGAACAGCTCTTTGGGAGGTGCCCATCATCCTCGACCGACTCCCGTAGCGTCGATCCGGGTCGACCACGTACTGGTAGCGGCCGTTGAGAAATGGGAAGCGAAGCGTCAGAACGAAGCGTCAACCGTGCCAGTTGGTTCATGTAGAACACACAGCCCTCATCCAGGAAAGCCTGTAAAGGTGTTGCGAAAGATGACGAAAGAACCATGCGAAAGAAGAGTCGATTAGAACACATTCTCGATTGGTTCTGAACAATACTCATAATATATGATGATGCATCAGTCAATTTATGTGGAGAATTGTGCGACTGCCTACCGTCCAGATCAGGTTCCATGTTAGGAAAAGCGGGAGGGTATTTACTTGGACCGCTGAAACCACCCCACCCCAGGAAAAGGTCGGGTTTTAATGGTTTGAATATGAATATGCCATACAGTACATGGAGTGTTTGGGACTGTTTCTGTTCTCCACGTACTCTGTGACGTTTGGTCGACCGTCGCTGCATCGCTGTCCGGTGTTTCTCCGCTTCCATCGGAGTGCTGAAGGTCGGTGTTTGTTTCCCGCAAGAGAAGCAGTGACAACACAAAGTGCTGAAGGTCGCTGGTTTGGGGAAACTCGGGAGTTTGGGGAGTTTGTGCCGAGATGAACTTTGAGATGGGCTGCGCGAGAACCTGACATTCCAGAACAAAACCCCAGCTGCCCTAGCTGTTCGGTCGTGTGGTGACATCACTGCCGGCGTAGCCAAACAGAAATCAACGAAACCAATACTCCAGCTACATGCACCAGAAAAGCACGCCTTTTGACTGTGAAAGGAAGTTTGTTCCCTATTGGCCCTATTTCTCATCTCCAGACCATCCATCGCTCCCATGCTTCTTGACAGCTCGGCCAGTACCCATCCATCGCTCCTACCAGGCTCCACTCCTGGACCGCCCGGAATGCTGAGAACCGGCGGGAGGAACGTTCGAATGAGTTGGGAGGAACTGCGCGTCCGTTAATGGGGTGAACTCCCAACTGATTCTTGAGTCCCCCAGTTAAGGATTTGAGTCCGCAAATGCCTCAAGATTATCTCGTGATGTTATTGTTTCATGTGTGTTTGGGGGGGACTCTTCCCGTGAAGGTCTTAATTACATTGGTCGTCATGCAAGGGCCAGGCAGGCACAAAACATAGAAGACCATGATGCGCATCCTCTGCGTGAAAGGACAATCGAACGGTTCTCGTTTGGGATTCACTTCACCGCAGATGGTTGTTGCTTTGTCATGGCCCACGGGCAGATTTACAGGAAAGATGGGGCAGTAGGGACATGTCGGGACTCTCCCTCATCAGATGTTCGTCTCCTCCAACAACCTGGCCAACCAACATGCAAATGGATCGGAAGCAACTGGGTTCTAGTCTCGCCCTTTGTTAAACACGTGGGACATGCACAGTGTTGGAGTATGAGTATGAATGAAACCTTTGAGGTGCAAGCACCATGAAACTCAGCATCTTGGGTGCTCATGTGCTGCCGGTTGGGTCTTCAAGGCATCCACCTGTTGTTTTTCCCTCTTCCTACTTCTCAGCTGCAAAGTCAGCCTCAGATGTCACCCGTGGAAGCCTGAGATCGGAACCACACAGGTTCCCAAAAGAGAGCCATTACTGAAATAGACTCTTGATTAATAAACCCCCCATACGAAAACGTTTTACAATCTAGATGGGGGGGCGATTAATCAAGAGTCTACATTATTCACTGAGGCTGCTGATTGGAACTCTTGATATATCTCGATATCAACAGTTTTAGTTGTTTCAATTAAGCCTCTATTAGGTTGGAGGCCATGGCTATTAGGTTGGGGGCCATTGCAATTAGAAACAATTAAAGAAAAGGAAGAGCCTCCGACACTTGAGGCTGCCGACACCTGAGCTCATCAGAGCCTCTTCAGCGGCCGGGGATGGGGAAACGAGAGGAGACGCTTTCCTGCGCGGGGCGTGCGGAGAACGCCGGGAAAGCGCCGGGAAGCGCGAGGCGCAAAGCGGGGAATGTCAAGATCAAGGTGTGTTAGTTGTCTCATGGATTACTTAGTGGTTATAGGTTGTTTTGCTTCTGCTGGTTGCAGAATTTTGGTGTTGAGTCCTAATCGATGGGTTGAATCAGTGATATACTGAGTTTGTGTTCCCTTTTGCTGTGTGGTTTCATGGCTGTCTCTCTCCAGAAAAAGAGTCGGGAGACTACCCTGTCATGCTTGAGAAACAGGTTGGAAAAAGTGATTTTCACGATCCCTGTTGGTATTTCCTCTAGAAAATGGGAGGGGTTGTGGTCCCCTAGAAGTAGGTAATTCTTTAGCAAACTGGCGCGAGGGTACAACCTGAAAGGTTGTACCTAACCATTTTCTAGAGGAGAGGTACCTCACTAGAGAATGAACACGAATTCTCAAGAGTCATTTTCTAGAGCCAGGATATGGGTTTTGGAGGGTCATTTTCTAGAGAGCTACCTGGTGGAAAAAAAAGAGCACCAGTGAGCATAGCACTGCACTCAAGAAACTTGAGAAGTGTCCTGTGGAGTCTTCTAGACCTGAGATTCTAGAGAAAGGAGTTGTGTTGTGTTTGGGGTTGTACCCCTCCATGTTCTAGAGACCCCTGCTTGCCCGCTGGAAAGTGCCACACAGAAGCCTTGGCCTGAGCAAGGCAGGGCCCCAAGAAAGCAAGACCTGACACTCTATGATTCGTAGAAACCCACAACAGCCAGACCTGAGATTCTAGGACCCGCCTTTCTCAGGACAAGGCTTCTGTGTAGGACTTTTGCAGCAAAAAACCAGGAGTCTCTAGAGAAAGGAGTGGTGTGCTGTTTGGGGTTGTACCCCTCCATTTTCTAGAGATCGTTTTTCTTTTTAGACATTTTGTCACAGATGATCTAGCACTCCATAGTAAGCCCCGTGTTAGAAGTTGTTGGAACATGTTGGAGACATGTTGGGGATACGAGCTCTGAACCTGTACGCCATCTTTTTCTAGTGAAAAAGGTTTTCCCACAAGAAAATGAACATTTTCACGAAAGGTAGCGGTTACGCGACCTGAGTTTTCCTTTTGCTTTAGCAAACATGAATTATAACCAGAGTGGACACCCATCTCACTGAGAAATCGCCTCCGACATTTACTTTTAAGGGCCGAGGGGGGGCCCCCTCCGTATGATAGAAAAACTGGTACTATGTGTCGTGGACCGTTTCTCAAACAAAAAAGAAAATATAGCTCAGCGTATACAGCCGTATACATTTCACAAATTGCAAACATTAACTAAATCACATTTTTAGTCTTTTATTTGTTTTACTTTTCCGAATTTATTTTTAAATATGTTGGGTTTACCGGAGGTTTGGAAACAATTAAAAATTTGTTTATTTATTTCATTTTATTTGTTTTATCTATTTGTAGTTATTTTGAGTATTTTTAGTTATTTTGTGTTTACCGGACGTTCGGAAACAATTAAAATTCTAAATATTTTAATTATTTTGATTATTTTTACTTATTTTGATTATAATTATTCTTAATTATTTTTCCCGGAGGTTTGGAAATAATTAAAATT